ATACAAAAGAATAACCAAACAGTAGTTTTATAAAAGATATAAACGTCGTTCGCATTACATTCAGAAATATTTTAATAAAGCAGTAGTAGTGGCCTGTGGTAACGGCAACGCGGGAAATGGGATGGGCTGAGTGGAACATGTCAAGGCAAACTTTTGAAAATTATTTCATCGCGGAAACGACATGCTCGCTGTCAGACATTTGGACTACTGCAAAGCTTGTATCAGTCGTAACTTTCATCTATAAACACGCCTTTCTAGGTCAGTGGTACGTTGACTAAACCAAAAGTTTAATCACAATCCATCGTTGATTTCTATTTTTAGATAATACATAATTGTTAGCGCTGATGTGAGCTTTTGCGTAGACTTTAACCACACTGTCCTTTTCGGGTGAACTTCTTAAGATTTCTTTAAAAGGAAGTTTAAGTATTAGTCGATTTAAGTTCTCACTGTATGACCATGTGGGTTATAAGCCTTTGGCAAAATAATTATTACGCTCTTATTAAAAAAATTTAAATCACTGTTTATAATTGTGAACCTTCAAATTACCTCGATCATCGCTTTGATCCTAGTTCAGAAGTCTTAGTGGTGTTTCTGGTTTATCCTTTAATGATAAAAGCTTTATGTTTTTTCTATATCTACGGAAACCCTAGCTTAATGTATCCCTGTAAGTGACTACCACCGTGCCCGCCCAGCTAAATTTGTTTAGCTGCACTGTGGCATCGTTTTACGAGCCTTCGTCTTACAAATCCCAGTTGTTCTCATCTCATCTTGCTCATTTTTAGATCGCCTTGAACACACAAATGCTCAGATACGTTCATTTATAAATATATGGCCACTTCCAGAGCATCCAGAGCACCAATAGACGCCTCGACAAAACCGCCGACGTAGTTTCTAACAATTCATCAATGCCACCCGTTTGGATGAGGGTGCGAGGCCTGAGGCGTAGGTCGATATATCACAGCGTCCATGCAGCATTTCACACGTTCGAGGCTGCTAAAGTCGAGACCACTGGTCCACTTTTTGATCGTGGCAACGCCGCTTCATTATGGACGGCTGTGCGCATCGCAAGACCTGGAAGCACAGGCTTAACCATCATTCTGAGAGCTCTCATGTACCTAGAAGTTTGATATGGGCAAGGGAAAAAAAAGAACGAGAAGTTCGCTGCCTTAGTTGACAAATCCGCGTTGGCAGTGCGGTTTATGATTTCAAGAGTAATGGTCTTTACTTAGCATTTGATTCGTTTACCTGGTTTTTCTTTACAACTACAGGAAAATTGCTTTTGGAAGGGTTTCTGAACCCGCTGCAAAGATGCCCGGAGATAAATTGTCTGTGTGCCTTATTTAACATGAAACCAAAATGTGACCCATTTATCCGACAAGCAAGCTTTCTTACGAAAATTTCGTTCGTGTTATTTATAATGTTTTACGAAAGAACTACACAATATGCATCCTTTGATTTGTGATAGCCACTTCGATTCAATTCAGTTTACTTGGAGAAAACATCGTCTCGGCTGAAGGCACCAAACGCCGACTATTTCGGCTTGACTATTGATTTTTTCCACCCAAACATTTGTGTATGATTGCTTGATTGTCTTTTACATCAGTGAGAGACCAACAGGCGATTCTTTCTGCCACTATTTATTGAGCTATTTATTGAGCATAATTTCATAGGTTCGATACGCAGACAATCTGGAGACTTGATGGAGGAGAAATTTCACAAATAAACACACAAGTTCAAATTCAATGGCACATGGCCAAAACTATGATTCAGGAGTCCCCCTGTACAGCATGCTCTAGAGACATACCACGATTTTGGCAAGTGACACCTTAGAGTTTACTTCGTAGTGAAGCTGTAGTTACAGAAATTAATATCGATGCAAGGGAAAACTTGATAGCCCCGAGAAACGCGACTATCGCACAGCGGGCTCCTTCCACGTTAGGGACGGGTAGGCCGAGCCTGACCGCCGCACCGTGAGCCTCTCTGAGGGCACAATTTTGGTCCCTGTTGTCAAGGCTTCAGTTCACAGTGAGGTGTTCCGTTTTGACTGACCTTCTTATTTGAGCTTCGTAATGAAAAGCATCACCAGGGCATTTCTTATGATCGGCATGTGTTCAAATTGCTTGGACTGTCACGAATTTGCGTCCGTGCTTCCGTGCACCGTCCGTGCTTTCTTCCGTCCGTCCGTGTCTCTGCCCGTGTGTCAAGATAGACGGACGGACAGAGGCAAGGACGAACGGATGGATGGACGGACAGAAGGACAGACAGACTGACGGCCGCACGGATGAACGGAAACAATAATGAACCGACGGACGGACGCATGGCCAGGAGCACTGACGCGCGGGCGGACGAACAGAAGAAGCACGGACGCATGGATGGACAGCCACATGAACAACCTCACGGACGGAAGCACGGACGGACGCATGCATCGATGAACGGAAGCACGGATGGAGAGAAGCCCTGACGGACGCACGAACAAACGGACGGAAGCATGGATGTAAAGACAGACGTATCGACAGAACAACAGACGGATGGACGGAAGCACGAACGAATGAACATGTGGACGGACAGACAGACGGGCGGAAGCATGCACGGACAGACAGATGGACGTACGTACAGACGGATGGACGGACGCGTGAACGGACAGACGCACGGACAGTTGGACACACGAATGGACTGATGGACGCTTCACCCCAATAATCATCATTCAGGTCGTGGATATGCTATGAAACCCACTAACGCCATCTAGTTGTACTATTCCCAGAGACATACACACAACACCATCTATTGAGAAAGTCATAAACTAGAGGTTGTTACACACTACACACGATGAAGGGAACGACCCATGGCCTAAGGAGCTTCGCCCCTAAAAAACTCAGTAAATATGAACACCAAAGACACAATGGGATTCGAGCCCGGGTCCCTTGCGTGCCAGCCCTGCATTCTACCACTGAGCGACGCCAGTGCTTGGAACTCCTTTGCAAACGTGCTCAAGCGCCGCCATCTTGGACTGATAACGATGCGATTTAGTATTCGTATCAAATAAACAAACATTGCTACGGTGAACTCACACACACAAAAGTGCTTTGCCGGCACAATAAATGTTTCTTGACCACGATCAGTTCCTATTGTGACACGAAAAATCTACAAAACAAACGCTTATCATTCCAAGATGGCGGTGCTCATGAGTCGAAAAGAAAATCGTGTAAAGCAAGCTTGGTGGTGGGAAAGTAATGACGTTAATATGTGTGATAGAGCGTTTTAGAACATCAAAGGAACAACCAGGTGTCATATAACGCGAATTGCGCAGCAAGTGGGTCGTCGCATGCTCTAACCTTTTACAAAAGCTTGATCTTGTTCACCTATTACCTTCGGCGCATACCCACTAGGGGGGGGGGGGGGGGGATTGTGCGGATTACAAAAGCTTCTGGCATATTTATTCATCATCTGCCACAGCACAAAATATCACACTGTTCCTTGCGAGTGTGTAGCGGGTGCCACGCTTCTACGAAAAATGACTTGGGATAGCATAATGAATACCTGCCTACTACACAATAACTGTAGTGTTATCGTTTAATCTTTGTTCGGGTCAAGCACTGTGCTGCCCTATGACGTCACTTGTGTAAAATATAAAAAGCGGCTGTTGAATAAACACGGAGTTCTTTTGAAGGCAGCGACATCGGAGTGGCGTGTGTCTTTCAATCGCGTCATACCGCTTGGCTTAGAGCAGCTACCCGAATAGAGGTAAAGAAAGGCTCTGAAAGGCCGCTCTTCGAGCTCTTGCTTGTCACAGTGCTGCGCGTTCCGCGCGGGCCTGGTGGTTTTTAAACAGGTGTTTGCTTTAGGTCTCCCCCCCCCCCCTACCAAAAAAAAACACACTTCCATCCAAAGCTCCTTTTGAACACGTTCGCTTTGCAAAAAACATTAATTCTTTAATACAAGAATTACCAGAAGCATCATGCATTACGTCATTTGAAGTCAACGACCATGAATGCGAATACAAGTCATTAAACTAAGAAAGATTAAGCAGCATATAGACCTTCATATTAAAGCTACACGCTCAAGTGGCTGTCGCCACAAGAATTAACTGACAATCTTTTCTAAGTTCCAACCCATAATGTAACCTCAAATTTGATTTCGTGACTTGTCACAATATCTACTACATATCGGATCCATCTGCAGGTCATGGGATCGAATCCCGGCTGCGGCGGCTGCATTTTCGATGGAGGTGAGAATGCTGTAGGCCTGTGTGCTCCGATATGGGTGCACTTTAAAAAGCTCACGTGGTTGAAATTTTCAAATGCCTCTACTACAGTGTCTCTAATAATCATATGGTGGTTTTGGTACGTTAAACCCCAAATATTAATCAATCAATTGATATCATATTGACTTACAGTCGTAATGAAGATTCAAGCTTTGCGACTAGCATAGTTGTCAACACATTTTTATAACTTTTCATCAGGCGTTCTTTATTGCCTTTAAATCAGTCCAAAACTGTGAATCATTTCTAAAATAGATATATGGGCTTCGTTGGTGGAACCTGAGTTTCCAGTTTCTACAGAAAGTAATGATATACGCAGAGTACCAAGCTGTATCTGTGACGTTATTTTCTGTGAAAGCAAGAAAACCAGCACAGGCCTCGAGACCGGTGCGGCGACGAATACGGCAAATAAGAAATCAGTCCAGAACAAAATGACAGGGAATAAGGTTGTCTCCTAAGAATGCATAATTTTCGTATAACTTTAACTTTCGTGTATCAGATGTCGCAACATGATTAAGGTCGTCTGCAACAATATTCTGAAAAGGCGCTACGTTTGCCTTACTAGTCGCTATGGATAAGGAAATTCAAAAGTTATGAAAAAATAGGACTACATGAAGTCTATCACGATTGCGTAGTTTGTATAAACAATACATTTCGGACACAAAATGATATCGCGTGTAATTGGTAATCTTAAATAATTTTAATCATATCGCTAAGCGTATCTATACTTCCAGAAGGGCCCTCAGTCGTACAGTATGACACGCTCGTGGCACAGGTACCGCTGCACCACTTTGTTGATAACGTCGGAGTAGGAATCCGTCGGTTGGTTCCTCCGCGGCCAGTATCTTCTCTTCTTCACCAAATCGACTATCAGGAGCGGCATCTGGAAGAAGAGGAATGGGCTCGGAGCGACGAGTGCCTCGTTGATGTAGTGCATCCACAGCCGCGTCCTGTAAAACTTCCAGTGCACCTCAGCGTTGTCGATTATTTTCTGGAAGGTCCCCGTCACAATGGCGATGAGCGAGTTCAGCATCGCGATGAGCATCAGTACCTGGTAGACCGAGTACAAAGTGGAGCCAACCACCTCGGTGAACCAGTGCTCGTTGATGGACCCGTCCTCGGCGTTAGCAACCACCACGTCCGCCTGGTCATCAGACGCGACGCCCAGCATCCGAAGGAACAAGGTCTTCATCGAATTGCCAAACGACGTGAAGGCCGGGCTCTGTTTCACTTCCTCGCCATCGGGTTCCGTCCGCTTCATCCCTTTGTAGGGCTCGTACATGCGCGTCAGCCCGAACGCGAACGCCAGCATGATGCAGAGGCAGATAAAGAAGAACCGCACTATCTCGACCATCATGGAGGAAATAGATACCTGCAGCGGTCCTAGTTTGGCGCTCTCCTGAAAGTAGTACATGAGCTTGAACACGCTCATCACAGAGGACACGGCGAACAGCGCCTCATGTATCAGGGTGCTGTCCATGCTGGGCCAATCCTTGCGAGGAGGTACGGTACCTCCACTCGGATCCCCAAGCATCTGCGCCCAAGCGACTATCCAGAAGATGAAGGTGAGCAAGAACAGGCTGATCATGGTAATGTCGTACCAGTGCCACATGCTGCAGAAGTAACGTGACGCGCCAATTGTGTAACAGGTAACGATCTCCTCGAAGACGAATCCCATTACCCAGATGACGATAAACCATTCGACGCCGGTGTGGGGAGCGCCCCGGGACGTTCTCGCCTTGTCGAGACATATCTGCATATATACGAAGAATACGAACATGAGCCTTGCAGCGAAGTGGTTCATATACTTGTTTACGGGGCTCGACCAGTGCTTAGCGATGACCGATTGAGGCATCAGCTTGACCAAAACTGCTACGACAGGCAGCGTGAGGAATCTGATCATGAAATGGACGAGCTTGACAGGAAACGAGAGTCGGTTCCAGGCTTTGAATTCTCCTTCCCACTCGATGCGAAGCGCTTGCTGAACGTGGCCGTGCGTGACGAACTCACGCTCGTGGTACTGCAGGGCCAGGATGACGCGCGGGAATGCCAAGTGCGCAACCCGGCCTTCGAGTCCAGCTGGCTGTTCAAGGAGTACGCGCGTCTCCTCGATCGTGCGGCACTGGTCTAGCAGGGCGCACGTGAACTTTCGAAGCTTCGCGATCTCCTCGTCGTATTCCCTTCGGAATTCTTCTTCGGCGTGCGACGCCCCGGCCATGCCCTGTGCGAAGAGGAAAGAATCGAGTATGGGGTCACCCGATACCTGGAGCATGTAATGGGGGTTGCAGATGGCCTTGTATGTGTTTAGGTTGCGCGTCGATGCGTTCACTCCTTCTATCCTCATGGCCTTGATGCAAGTTTTGCAGAGGCAAGAGGCCGTGTGAGGAGCTTCGACCACGAGCCTTTTTTTGACAAAGAAATGGATCAGCGTCCAGTGGCCCATCTGCGCCGCCAATATAACGGGTGTCACGTCAGCGGTATATGTGGCACTGTGAGCGTAACCACGTTGCTCGCACTGCGGGTCGGTCTTACTCATTTCGGTGACGAGGAACTCCGTCAACGGCACGTCACCCGTTTCGACGGCGTGTAGCAGTACGTCATTGAATCGGACGCCATTTTGGACCAGGAATCTAACCATCGGCAGGTCTTTCCGGCGGACCGCGATGTGAAGTGCCGTGTAGCCCTGACAGTTGACGCAGTCCTTGTTAAGTCGCGGTTTAGAAGCGAGGAAACCCCTGCAGATTGGTGATGTCCGCCGCTCCGACCAATTCGAAGTAGCGCACCTCATCGGGATCCAATTGCGGAAGCAAGGCAGCCTCCAAAGAGGGCTCTCCCGACTGCTGTGCCAAGGACGTCGCCGAAGGGACGATGTGGATTTCATCTTCGGCATCGGTGACGCCACTGAGAACGCGTAGAAGACGCTGAGGGGCTTTTGGGGGCATCTTGATCTATCGCTGTCGTTGGTTGACGCTCACCACGGCCCACAGCTTTCGTTCTTTTCTTCCTCACATAACTATAGGCTTCATAATTTGGCAATGTGTTCTAAGGTATAAAGCGTTGTGCTCAAAAAGGAATTTGACGTTGATTTACATCTCTGTATATCAGCTTTAGGATGTTTGTTATGTTTTAAAGACGATAGTCTTTCTTGGGGACCTTTGACAAATAATTTTGGTTTGTCTGTACATTTGTCTGTTTGTCCGCCCTGAAGATTTCCCAAACGGCACCAAACTGCCAACCCCATCCACAGCGCCCACCAATATTGCTCAAGGTTTAGCGTTGATAGTTGTGTGATTGTCAATTAAAAAAGGAAATATTGCACATATCTGAGGCGCCCTAACATGTCTATGTTTTGTATGTCTGCCTTTACACTAGAAGAGGCACACACAAGTGACTCTAAGGACTGTAGCGTTTAACGCGCTGCGCTGACAGTGCAACGCGATGCTCAAAAAGGTGTTTCCAACGCTTTGCTACGACGGCACGGTAGTGTCACCTGCCCGTCGCTTTTCATACTACACTTTATCACCTCCGTGACTGGCGCGCATCTTTCTCCGCGGTCACACACGCCTTCGTTTTCGAAGATAACTGCCAGATTGCGCTCGTGTCTAACGTGATTAGATGCGCTTGTTCGCCTCCGTTGCACGCTCGAGGGACTCTAACGCAGCGCCTTGAAAATACCATTCACGAATTTTCTTGCGCAGAACATCAAATAAACATTTTGTTCCGTCTCTCCAGATGCAAGACTATCCTCTTTCGACATTTGCAATGTAACATATAGATTCAGGCGAATGTTTCATAGCCTCCCTCGCAGACAATGTATTTTAGGAGCGAAACACCTTAGGCTATAGGCTTGCGCGTTGTCTGCTGCTATGTCCGTCACGACACAGCCCATGCAGTGTACCCACTATAAGCCTAACGTAACTTTCATAAAGTAGAGAAGCGCCCGCTATGCAGCAATGCCATTCGTCATTCTGCTGACAAGCGAGGTACCCGCTACACACTTAAGGCGTTAAGTGCACTTTGTTCGTGCTGTGTCGATGCATATGAAGAATAAGTGCGTTCACACACATTATCTTTTTGACCAAAAATGAAAACGAATGTGAAAACACTCTGGCCCGCGAAAGCCACTGGCTTCAAATGAACGGTACTTCAAATGATATAACTAAAATGTCTACCTAAAATAAACTAGAGATATTGTTGAATAAATTTACCCAATCATCGGCCGATCCCCTCCAGTGGGTATGAACCATGTTCAGAAAGAGCAACACCCACTACAGCGCTGTCAATAAATTCGAAGTACATTTTTTTCTGTTTTCTATCAACATTTATTTTTTGTAATGTCTGAAAAAATCCTATAATAAGTTCCTGGGCGATTTTCTTGAGTGGGTATGAGCCATGGTAGAGGCATCCTGATCATCTTCATCATCATCATCATCATCAATACCGTTGCCCCGAACAACCGCTCGGGAAGCAGCAGCGAAGTGGCAACGCCTTCAAAAGCGGTTACTGGAAACAGCGGCAAAACGACAACGCTGGCAGCAATGTGCTATCCCGGAGCTGAGGGGGCGGAAAGCGCCGGCTGAACGCCGAAACCGCCAAGCGGACCCGGAGTTGAGAGCCGCGCTGCGGCAAGAGTTTTCCGGTGGTGATGAGAGTTAGTACATGATTTACCTGTGCAAAGATTCCTTGGTAACTGGCAAGGTCCCTGCATAGTTATAACTGCTACCCGCCCAAACCAGAGTGCCTACCCGCATTATAACGAATAAAACATCGTGTATATTGTACACAAGATCAAGAATAGAGCAACGTTATGACAATCCCGTGTCGAAAAATGTCTCGTTAAAAAGCTCCTGAAGCAGCACGCGAGGGCTGATAATAAAGTTTTTCGTTTCTCCAGATCCGTGAATGAGGGAAAGGGCTCCAAATTAAACTGTCCAATTTCAGGACACACCAATTCTGATGGGGCCATCCACAACCACCCAGGTAAGTGTCCGACGCTGGACTGTGTCCGACGCTGGACTCGTGACGCTGGACTATATGGCGCCTCACTTCGTGGCTTGAAATGACAACACCCGGGTTGGAAAGGCTTTCAGCGGGCTATAGCAGCCCTTCGGTGACTCGGTTGAAGTATACGGAATGATGGCGCTCCCTTTTTCGTTCACAAGCGGCCAACCTGACAACTCCCAGTAACCTACGCCGGCCAGCGTCGATTTTTGGGTACGTACCACTGTATTCTTAAGTCACCCTATAACGCTTCGTGGGATTAGAGGCAATTAGTAAAGTATATATATATATATATATATATATATATATATATATATATATATATATATATATATATATATATATATATATATATATATATATATATATATATATATATATATGCGTGTGTGTGTGTGTGTGGAAAAATTAGTGGATACTTTAGGGCTCGTTTTCCGTGTTTTGACACAATATGAATGAAATCTAACAGACAATAATGCCAAGGGCAGTATATGGGTGGTTATTAGACGGAATTGTAAGGTAAATGAGAAGAAAGAAATGTGGACAAAAAAACGAAATATATATATATATTGTTACTCCTGTGTGAAACAGTCGTAATGTACGTAAGCTTTCGAATTGTGTGTTTTAACACCTTGTGAACACCCTTCTAGGACAAAATAGTCTTGAAAGCCGTGTGATAGTTTTCTATAATGACTCGCACAAGATTATATAATTTGAGTAACTTTCTCTTTAGGTATGAAGAGCTCCTCGCGTGGCGTCGATTACCACAGTGCGTGGGATCTCACAACTGTTTTCATTCATGTAGGCCACTTCAGTGTTTTTTTTTATATATAAACGAATCGAGGATTGAGGTTCACGCTCCTCTTAAGTTATCGATTGCTAGTGATAGGAGCATTGAAAAGCTGCCAAATGTCCTTCTCGTATTAATTTATTGTCACGTGAAGGTGGTTCCAGCTTGCGGCAACGTTTCATCCTTTTCACCCATCTTTTTTTTTTCTATGGTGACCATTTGCAGATCTGTCTGCAGGTCTTTTTAGCCGGTCCACCATGAACCGTTAGGGCATTCCAGCATAGAAACAGGCTGATAAGTACCAATAAAACAGGCTGATGAGTACCAATAAAAACCAAAACCTGCATCGGTAACTCAGCTTAGCTGCTAAGTATTAGGGCGTAGGTTTGAACCTAGCAACAGTGGCTTTCGATATGTGTATGAGTGACTGCGTCGATGAATGCGTGTGTGGTTAAATTATTCCCACGTCACTTCGCGATGTTTAGGAACTGTTTTGTACGAAGTGTTACAACTGTCGTCATCATGATGCGGGAAATCACTCCGCCGGCCGAAGCTCCCGACCATGTATCAATTTCAAGCTCCCATGCTTTTGAGGGCGGCTCGTGGCAAACACACATAACATCGCTCGCTATATTGAACGCTCCCTCAGTACTTCCTTCCATCACTACGTTGTTTACACACGAAGGAATTCCTTCAAGTGCTATATGTGTACACGTGTTTCCAGAATTCCATCTCTTGCATCGAATTCCGTTCCAGTTTCGGTAGCACCAGTCGTGCGTGGTAAGGACGCAGGCTCAATGCTGTGCGGACGCCAAACGAATGGTCGAGGTGAGAAAGAGAGAAAATAAAGGCTTATAGTTCTTCTACAAGATAAAGCGAGGGAAGGGGGTGGAGGATGGCAATAAACGCTGAGGAGAGAAGAAGGCACTCACAAGAGGGATAGCGTCCCGCAAGCGTTGAAAGTAATGAGCGGCGCGACGCGAGACGAATCTTCCGTCTGTTGCGACTATTGATTTTCAAATTTCTGCTCCCTGCATTTATCTAGGAGGCAGGCGTGCCTGGGGCGCGAGCACGAACACACGTACGTATCTTGGAGCTTAATTAAAATTTTATCCCTGCGAGGCATTTCACAAATTCATGAGGCGGAACTTCTCTGGATGACGACGACGTTGTCGGCAGCAGCGGTCGAGCAAGGTATGCGGCACCGGCGAAAGAAAAAGGATGTGCGCATTAGGTTTCGAAGCACGCTTTGGAAAATTGATTGCACTTGTCCATATCGAATGTTTCTGTCCTCGCTTTGCACGGGCTCTTTGAGTAGAGAGTGCAAGGAGGAGCTGGGACATAGTTTTGGTATAACCTCGGGCACGCTGGTACAGTTGCTGAACGCATGCCGGAGGCAAGCTATGTTGGAGGCGTGCTGGAGACTAGAGGGAGGCAAACTATGTCCCGGCAGCTGCCTTGCAACAAAACTTATCCCATTCTCAGCCGTGTCGTAGTTTTGGTAGAACTTGCATTGTTTGGCGATTTCACCCAGGTTCCGAAAGGCCGGTTGGCTAGTTGGTCGGACTGCGACATTAAACACCCTCGCGCCAACTTAGCCAGCTTGGTAGTTCATGGTCTAATAGAAAGACCATCGTAATCTTGTACTAACGAAACACCATAATTCTCAACTAAGACAGAGGAAACATGACTCTGAATCTATGTGCCATTTATCGATGAACCTCTCTCTAGCTTTTGCACTTTGTTCACTATGCTGTACCACCTGTTACCATTTTGCATGCTTATATAAGAAAACACGTAAAATACAAGCCCTCGAATACGCATTACGGATGGGTTGCGGCACTAAA